TGGTGGGAATGTAAAATGGTACAACCACTTTGGAAATCGATTTGGTGCTTCCTTAAAAAGCTAGAAATAGAAGTACCATACGATCCAGCAATCCCAATCCTTGGAATATATCCTAGAGAAATAAGAGCCATCACACGAATAGATATATGCACACCCATGTTCTTTGCAGCACAGTTCATGACAGCAAAAAGTTGGAAACAACCTAGTTGCCCATCAATGGACAAATGGGTAAACAAATTATGGTACATTCACACAGTGGAATACTAACAACGATAAAGAAGAACGATGAATCCATGAAACATAACATGGAGAAATCTGGAGGGCATTATGCTGAATGAATTTAGTCAGTTGCAAAAGGACAAATATTATATAAGACCACTATTGTAAGAACTCAAGAAAAGGTTTAAACACAGAAGAAAACATTCTTTGATGGTTACAAGGGTGGGGGGTGGCGGTGAGGGTTATTCACTAACTAGATAGTAGACAAGAACTATCTTAGGTGATGGGAAGGACAGCACACACTATAGGGGAAGTCAGCACAACTGGACTAAACCAAAGCTAACAAGTTTCCTGAATACAATCAAACACTTCGAGGGACAGAGTAGCAGGGGCAGGAGTCTGGGGACCGTGCTTTCAGGGGACATCTAGCTCAACTGGCATAACAAAGTTTATTAAGAAAATGTTCTGCATCCCACTTTGGTGAGTGGCATCTGGGGTCTTAAAAGCTAGCAAGTGGCCAGCTAAGATGCATCAATTGGTCCCAACCCACCTGGAGTAAAGGAGAATGAAGAACACCAATGACACAAGGAAAATATTAGCCCAAGAGACAGAAAGGGCCACATAAACCAGAGACTCCGTCATCCTGAGATCAGAAGAACTAGATGGTGCCTGGCTACCTCTACTGACCACTCTGACCAAGATCCCAATAGAAGGTCCCAATTAGAGCAAGGGAATAAAAAATGTACAACAAAACTCAAATTCATACAAACGACCAGACTTACTGGTCTGATAGAGACTGGTGGAACCCCCAAGACTATGGCCCTTAGACACCCTTCAAACCTGGAACTGAACCCACTCCCGGAAATCACCTTTCGGCCAAATAGACAGGCATATATAGTGAGCAATAATACCTGTGCTCCTCAGAACAATCAACCATATGAGATCAAAAGGGCAGCATTTGCCCAAAAACAAAATTCAGAAGGCAGGAAAGACAGGCAAATGGAAACAGGGAACCCAGGGAGGAAGTGGGGAAGGTGCTGTCACATTGAGGGGAGTGCAACTAATGTCACGAAACAAAATGTGTATAAATTGTTGAATGAGAAAAACTACTTTGCTCTGTAAACTTTCACCCTAACCACAATAAAATGTTAAAAAAAAAAACAAACAACAAGCACCTGTGGCGTTCCTAGGGAAGGTGGTAGAACAAGTTTTGCTGGAAGTCAATAAAAATTTTTCATTCAGCAGCTTTTACCTCATAGCTTTGGGAAGCAATCTGGCAGCCCTCTACCTATAAGCCAGTTGCTGTTGAGTTGATTCCGACTCATGGCGACCCCATGTGTGCAGAGTAGAACTGCTCTATACGGTTTTCAAGGCTGTGACTTTTAGGAAGCAAATTGCCAGGCCTTTCTTCCGAGGCACCTCTGGGTGGGTTCGAACTGTCAACTTTTTGGTTAGTAGTTGTGTGCTTAACCATTTGTGTCACCCAGGGACTCAGGAAGTAAAGTTGTTGGCCTGCTTCTCATAGCTGACTCTAGTCCCTATCAGGCAACCCACAGAGAAAGAAGACGCAAACACTCAGCAGCTAGAAAGAGAAATCTTTATAGAGAGCTCTGTCAGGGGGAGACGAGGTGTCAGGTGCCAGTCTCCATCTCTACCACTTCTGCCCAGGCACTAAAGCCCATGTCCTTATGGATGAGTAGCAGGCTGTGGGTGGGGCCTGGCTCCTCTGGCACCACAAAGCACTTGTCCTGGCTCTCAGAAATTGTGACCTCAATGACATCTTGGGCCGGGGAGGCTGCCCGTTCACTGGACGTGTCCAGCAGTTCAGGCTCAGCCTGCAGCAGCACCATGGCAGATTCAGAAGCAGCAGGAGGCACGGAGGGCGGGATGGAGGGCACCTCAGGCTGGTGACTGAGCTGGTGCCGCTTGAGGCTCTGGGGGAGGGTGTAGCCCATACCACAGGTGGCGCAGCGGTAGGGCTTGTCTGCCAGGTGGCATTTGAGGTGACGCCGCAGCTTGGTAGCCAGTGTGTAAGCACGGCCACACTGGGGGCACACGAAGGGCCTCTCCCCCGAGTGCAGGCGCTCGTGAGCACGCAGCGTGTGTGGGTCTCGGAGGGCCTTCCCACAAACAGGGCACAGGTGGGCCTCCCCGGTGTGGGAGATGAGGTGGCGCCGCAGCTCAGGCAGCTGGGGGAAGGCATCCGTGCAGTGCGGGCAGTGGTAAGGGCGCTCTCCTGTGTGCAGCCGCAAGTGCCCGCGTAGGTTGCCCCGCTGGCGGAACGCCCGGCCACAGTGTGGGCACAAGAAGGGCTTCTCCCCTGTGTGGAGCCGCATGTGGTTCCGCAGGGAGCCCTGGTTGGCCAGGGGCCGTCCGCATACAGGGCATGGGCACGGGGCAGGGGCAGCTGGCACCTGGTGGGTCTTGCGATGCAGCCTCAGGGAGGGCCGGCGGGCAAAGGCCTTGCCACACTGGTCACAAGCAAAGGGCCGGGCACCAGAGTGTACCACCTGGTGCTCTTTGAGGTCTCGCCGGGTGCCGTAGGCCCTGTCACACTGCGGGCAGGGGAAGGGGCGTACCCCGCGGTGGCCCAGCATGTGGGCTTTGAAGCTCTCCTCCGAGCTATAGCTCTTGCCACACTCGGTGCAAAGGAAGGGCTTGTGGCCTGTGTGCACAAACGCGTGCTTCTTTAGGTGGCACAGCTGCAGGAACGCCTTGCCACACTCCCCACACTGGTACCGTCGTCCCTGTTTCGAGGAGCTGCCTGCCAGAGCAGGAGGGCTACGCAAGGGTGCAGGGAAGCTAGAGTGCTGGGGCTCTTCAGCTTGCTGGTCCTTGGGCTCTGAGGTCTTTGCTCTGGGTGGCGGTTGATCACTGGGGCTACAGAGCTTCTTGGCCATGTAGGCATGGAGTTGGGGGTCCCTGGAAGAAGATGAGGAACTGGTTTCACTGCTCTCTGGGCCCTGCTGGATAGCTGCGCTGCTCTGAGGTTTACGTGGCATCTGTGTCTGGGGTGGGTCCTCCTCGTCCATGCTCCCGTCATGAAGCAATGGGCCAAGTGGTTGGCTACCCGTGGAAAGGTGGTCCTGGGCTTGGGGCTTAAGTCCAGGGCTCACTGTACTCTCCGCCTGGAGGCTAGTGTGCCACTGGTGACCGATATCTGCAAGGCAAGAGTGGGGTGCTGGGGTTAGTAGAGCTCGGTAGCAGGACGTGATGGTGGTGTTACCATAGATGACAGGAACATATGTCTTCTACCCAGCCCTGAACTCAGTGGTAGCAGTGACACCAATCTCTTTCCTGAAGCATAACCCACACTCTTTATCTTCCTGTCCAGCCTCAGATGCCTTCTGGGGAAGCATCCCTGGAAACCATGGTGCCCCAGCCATCCCTAGAATAAGGCCATTCCAAAGGTCCCCTCATTCTCCCTTTGGAGACATCCACTTAGAATGTGAGTCAAGATCCAACCCCCTTAGCTCATCTGTAAAATAAAGGACACTCCCTCAACAAGTGAAGAAACATAAGAGAATGGAAACGTTTACACAGCTTACTGTCTTCATTAAATGATCTTACCATTCCAGAATCTCTTGCTTAGGAAGATAAAAGTTGCAAATAATCTTACTGTTTGTTTCAAGCAAAAGACCCATCACTCATCAATAGAAAACATCCAATGACAGTTTATACCCCAAGACTCTTTGAACCCCTTGCCTGAAAATTCTAGCCTTGCTGTGTCCACCAAGCCTGTCCTGATCTATACCCAATCCCACACTGAAAGACCCACCTTAAAGCAGACTTTGAAATCTCAATAAATACCCCAACTTTGCCCTTTGCCCTCAGAAAAGCTTCTAAGACTCTGCAGTGTTCTCTCTTACCACATTAAGCCACAAACTCAGCTTGGTCTTACCAACAGGTTTTTTTGGTGATAATTTGGGGAGCCAGTGTTTGACACATACCTGTGCAGGGTTCTGCTGCATCCTCCCCAGGAGAGGCCCCTTCCTGCTGTGCAGCAGACTCCACTTCTGTCACCACAGCCACAGCTGCCTCTTTCTCTAGCCTGGGCTGGGTGAGGCTTGGGTCATCAGGAGGCCAGGGCCACAGTAGCAGCTCAAAGCCTGGCAGCACGACCCGGCACACCTGCAGGTGAAGCCTCTTGCCGATTCGCACCGGGGCCACGTTTCCCTCATTCTCCCGCCTGCCCTGCTGCACCAAACTGCAAAGCAGAGCAACAGCTAGATCAAGAGATCATCTTCAACTGGCCTTCCCTGAAAGCCTCAGCTCCCAGACAGTCTGAACCTTAACGACCCAAAGCCTTTGGAATACTCACTACAAAAACTCATTGGGTCGGGAATTACGGCCTGCCTCAGGGCCTACCTCAAGCCACAAAAGAAAGCTCAAAGGAGCGATCTTCACTACATACTCTCCTGTAGCTTACCTGGTCCAGCCTGAACTCTGCTCACAGGCACAAATGTCTCGCCATGGGCCTAGTGACAGGTCCTGAAATAAACCAATAGAAGTCCTTCTCAAATGTGTTTGAGGGGACCACAGTGGGGAAAAGAAAATCCTGGATGGAACCTCTCCTGGGACAGATCCAAACTGAAGCCTGTGAAAGGTCAGTGGCCTCTGATCCTGCCTCTACAGGACTGTGTTGTCCAATTCCTCATTAGTAAAGACCAGAAATTGTGCCTTCATCTCCCTCCCAAGGGTACAGAGAATTATTAAACTGAACACATTACTGCCTTCCAATGAGTACTAAACAAAAAAGTAATAAGAAAAACATCAACTTTCTTTAGTACTTGTTATACAATGATACATTTTATTGCATTATTTCATCTGTTGTTAGGTGCTGTGCAGTCAATTCTGACTCACAGTGACCCTGAGTGATAGAGTAGAACTGCCCCATAGGGTTGTCTGGGCTGTAATCTTTATGGGGGAGCCCTGGTGGTACAGTGGTTAAGTGTTTGGCTGCTAACCACAAGGTCAGCAGTTCGTATGCACCAGTCACTCCTTGGAAACCCTATGGGGCATTCTACTCTGTCCTATAGGGTCGCTGTGAGTCAGAATCAACTCGACGGCAGAGTTTTTTAATCTTTATGGGAGCAGATTGCCAAGTCTTTCCCCCACAGAACTGCTGGATGGATTCCATATGCCAACCTTTTGGTTTGCAGCCGAGTACTTAACCACTTAACTGTTTGAGCCACCAGGACTCCTTTAACTTAACTAGTCTCCCAAATAATTTTGATAGCCATTATGTTCCTTTAGTCTACAGATGAGTTAAATGAGGCATGTCATTTAACTAGCAAGGTGACAAGGCTGGTATTTGACCCATGCCTTTTTTTCCTCCTAAGTTTTATTTATTTTGTTGTTGTTGTTGAGAATATATGCAGCAAAACATACACCAATTCAACAGTTTCTACATGTACAGTTCAGTGACACTGATTACATTCTTTTAGTTGTGCAATCACACTCACTCTCCTTTTGAGTTGTTCCCCCCTCATTAACAAAAACTCACTGCCTCCTAAGGTTTGACCCATGCCTTTTTAATTAAAAAAACTTTGACTTTTGTCACTAACTCTATGCTAATCCAGTTTTTAACTACTTTTTGCATCTCGATTCCTCAACTATTGCAAATGAGGGGAAGAGACCGTCCTTGAGATAAGGAACAAAACCATCTCCTCTATCTTGCTGGAAATACCCTGCCTTCTCCAACAACCTGGAGAGCTGTCCAGAAATGTCTGAACGTCCTCAAGTTTTCCATCACAGCGAGTAGGCGCCCTATCCCTCAGTACCTCCTCCTGCCGGGTGTCCACTTGCTCGCCCTTCTCCTCGGAGACAGGCTTTTCTTCCAATGGCCCCCACTGCAGTCCAGGCTGCAGGGGCTCCCCGACACACCAGATCCCCAAGTGCTGCTCTTTGGCGAGTGAGGGGCCAAGGGCCAAGCCCCGGGGGAGGTTCTTTAGAGCGAGGACGGCTCGGGCCGGCTCCGGCGAGAAGTCCTTGAGGGCCTGAGCACAGCCTTCTCCGGAAGGGCTCCATCCTGAGTCTGGGCCTGGGCACGGCTCGGGGGCTGCAGGCAGACGGGAAAACAGTGAGGGAGTGGCCAACGGTGAGGAACAGTCCAAGAGGGCGTGGGGCAAGAAAAGGTGCGGGAGCCAGCCGCAGGTCCAGATAGGCATCAGGAGTTTGAGGGATCTATGGGGCTCTAAAGGGGCCTTTAAAGGGTCTGAGAGGTTTCGGAGGCTCTTAAGAGGCCTCCAGCGTCTTTGAGGGCGCCGGAGAAGGATCCAGGGCTCAAATGGAGCAGGGACGAGGCATGAGAGTTGACCAGAGAACGTTAGTTCCTTCCAGGCGAGGGCTGAAGGCAGCAGACATTGCAGGTCACTCACCGAGCTGCGATCTCTTTCCCTCCAAGTGTAGCTCCTCCGCCGCCTCCATCCCGGGTCAGTCGGCCTCACTCCACCGGAAGTGGTCGTCGTCTTCTCAACTCCTCCCGGAAACAGTCATTCATTTCCAAATTTCCTCTCAAGAAAGAATCCCAAGAGTCAGGTCTCATTGATGCACAGGACAGGGAGTTTGGGAGTTCTTATGAAGCAAAACTGTGTCCGAGGACAATACAAATGTAAGATTCCGGAGATATACTACAGATTCGAGTATCAGGGAAAGCGGAACTATGTTTTCAACCACCTCCGGTTGGGAGAGACGACTCGGACAGTTATGCTGCAGTGTCCGAAGCAGGCACTTAGGCGAGCATCTGCAGGAAGTGGGCGGGGCTCCTGGAAAGGCCTTGTCTGGACCGGCAATGGGCCGGAAGTGGGTTGGAGGTGTGGCGGAAGTGGTTGGGGAATGTGGAGACAGGGAGGGGGCGGTTCCCGTTCCATCGCGGAGCCGGATGTTTGCCGAGCTTTGACAGGCGGGGCAAAGGGAGCAGTGGCCGAGCGCGGTGAGCTGCAGGGCGCGGGGGTATCCCCGGGTGGGAGTGGAGGAAGGGAAGAAGTTGGTCTGGGGTCGTCTGAAGTGATGGGGTCCGAATGGGGAGAACCCCAGTAGATATGAGGAGGGGTTTCGAGGGTGAGATTGGGCCCAGGGGCTTCCCGCTGCCCTACTCCGCGGTCTGCAGTGAGAGGACTTCCCCCTTCGCTGCCTTCCTCCTGCCTTCCCCAGGCCAGATCGCTGTCCTCGAGCAAGCCAGTGGGAGGGGGAAATCTCCCTGGTCCGATCTGGCGAAGCACTAAGAAGAAGAGATTTGGGGGAAATGTTCCACCCTGCCATTTATTAGGCCACGCTTTCATTTCAATTTCTTAATCTGTGAAATGGGATAATTACACCCAATCCAGGATTTGTAAACCATGAAGCTCTATACAAACGTGACTGTAGTTGTATTGTGGTGGGATTCGGGTTTTTCCAATTCGTGAGCCTCAACTCCCCCTCTCCTTGTAGGCGGGCGATTCCACTGCCTGAGAGTACGTTGTCAAGTTGCAATCTCTGTTCAGGGTGGACGAGAAGATTACGGGAGAAGCTTTAGTTTGCCCTTTTTGCCTCAGGTTTTCTATCTGAACCTTGAGAATCGCATCAATGAGTCACTTAGAGAATTGTTGAGAGATTGACCTTTACCAGGAGACCACCTCAGACTCACATGGAGTAAAATCTTGACTCTGCTGGCGGTTTGACCCTAAGCAATTTACTTATTTTTTCAGGTTCTTTCCTCAAACCGTAAAGTGGGCTTAGTAGTATTTGCCTCACTGTGTTGTTCTGGAGTTACAGGAGGTATTTGTCCATTTCCTGGTGCCTTGTAGGCCCTCAACAAATGTTGGTTTCCTTTTCCACTTAGAAATGTATTGATTCAGTCAGTCGTTCAACAGGTATGATTGAGTATTAACTGTGTGCCAGGCATTATTCTGAATAGGTCAGGGGTTTTTAAATAGGGGTCCTCAAAGGGTCTGCGAACCCCATAAAATTGCATGCAGGATTTCATACACGTGCTGAATTTCATCAGAGAGGTCCAGGACTTCCCCAAAATTAAAACTTCTGTCTAAATAAGTTCTCAAAGATTTTTGTAAAGGTAGCTGGTTAACCTGCTGAGAAGGGAAAAAAATGATCTCAGAGTAGGGAGTATTTTTTACAGATTGGAGCAGGGCCTTGTGGGTGGCTGGGGTCTTAGGCAGCCAGGATACTTCACTTCCACCAACTTATGTTAGACATTCCCAGGACTACTTTCCCTCACTCTCCCACTGAATGGGCTCAGAGAAGACAACAGCTGTGGGTTGGAGGGTGATGAGAGAGGCCAGTCTGGCGGGGAGGTGGAATAACTGTGATTAGCTATGCTGGAAAAAGAGGTTATGGGTGGGGGTGGGGGAAATCAGAACTGACAGAATAGAGGAGGAGTTACTGGCAAAGAGGTGGAGTTCAAGTTCAGTTCCCTTTTAGAGGGTATCCCTCTCTCCCTCACACATGCCTCAGCTCCCAGCTGCTCTTTCTAATCCAGTTGTTCACTTCAGCATGAGTATTTTAGAACAGTGGAGAACTGTATTTCTGGGAGGAACTTTGGCTTTTAAAGAAGAGGAAATTGGGGTCCAGATAGGAGAAGGACTTGCCCGACATATTTGCAACTCAGTGGCTTAGGCAGGACTCTAAGTCAGTTCTCCGTATACCTCATCCCATGCTTTTTCCATCATAGCAAGCACCTACTCTGTGCAGGAAGGCTTTTCTGGGAAGGCAGGTGAGAGGGCTGAAAGAGCACCTGGTACCTGGGCAGTGAAAGAACAGAAGGGATGGGGAGAGGACTGAGATCTGGAGGGGTTGCTTTGACCTGGATTCTCTTCCTGCTACCCAGCTGGGAGCTCCTTTTGGGGAGCAGCCCTTACAGCCTCCTGGCTGAATAGGGGGAGGAGAGTGTAGATGGATCAGCATGGATTCCTCAAGACTGAGGATTGCCTGCACTGGAGGGTTGAAGGAGAGTGGGGAGCTGGGATTTAGGGGTGAGAGGCACAACAGTACTCACGAAAAGAGAGAAATATATCCCAAATAATATGAGCAAGTCATCTTTCTCTGTGTTTTGGGGAAGTGACTTATATTTGGGGGGTAAGCAGTGGTAGTGGTTAAGGCCAGGGAAGAGGAGGAGAAAGGAGTTTTCTCTTGGATTTGGCTCAGGAGCTTGAAACAGCTTTTCCCACTGAATCAGTGTGGTTGCCCTGGTAACAGAGCAGTTGTTGCTAGGGACAGGGAGCCGGTTTGCCATCCAGAATCATCAGCTGTGACCCGTGCAGGATGTTGTCACGTTGCCTCAGAGCCCTGAGGTGTTCAGGATCTGGATCTCAGATGGCAGTTCTCTTTCCCTCTTCTCCCTACCCGCCCCCAGGTCTTGTTTGCACTCCTTATCTGTCCTGCTGATTCTCTGACCATATATGTCCCTTTTTGGCCTCCAAGAATGCAGCCTGGCTTGGAGCAGCCTCTTATCTGAGGTTGGACTGAGTGGGTCGAATTGAAACTCCCCTCCCTCACCCATATGGTGAGCTTATGGTGGGAGAGGGATTTGTTTCCCATTTGGGCTGAGGGCAGAAGGTACTTGCTCCAGCTCACATGTGGCCACATGCTAGTGGCCATGACCAGATCCCAGACCTGGGGAAACCCAGTCACAGAGTCATCTCTTCTTCTTTCCTGCCAGCTGTAGTTGCTGTTCCATTCTTCACCTCCCAGGTCTCAGCACTTTGGATGCCACGAGCTTCGCCCTGTCCCATCCGTGCCCTCCAACCCTTAGGGCAGTCTACCTTGAAACTAGTGTCAGGGGTGGGGTTCGGAGCCCCTGGGAGCCTGCAGATTGTCTGCTCTGTAACTGGCAGGCAAACTCCATCCCCTGCTGCTGGTCTCTGTCTTGGGGCAAGTCCACTTGGGCCATCTCAGCCATGATCTTTTTTGGGGGGGAACCTGCAGCCTCTGGCCACCTCCTGTGTGCCAGGGCAGGGGCGGGGGATGGAGCAACCAGAGCCACAGCTGACCAGCTTCAAGCACGGGGTCTGAAACATTCCTCTGCTCCTTGGATTCTTGCAACACCTCTATCCTTGTAGCTTCAGGGGCTGGGGAAGCTTCTGGGCTCCAGGAACCCTAAGGAGAGTGGTGTGAACTTATGCTCTGCAGCTGGGACCACATGGCTGAGCCAGCTGGGTGGTGGGTAGCACAGGGCCTGGCAAGGCTCTTTTCTGCCCAGCTTGAAGACCTGAGGGAGGCGCTGAGCTGTGCCATCCTCTGCCCCAGCTGCCTTTTCTGGCAACACGCCTAAACTGTGGAGACAGGAGAACTCAGAGCTGCATGGAGCTGTTGGCAGGGATGAGAAGTGTTGAGGAATAGAGACAGAGGAATGTGGGGGAGAGAGGATGGGGGCAGGAAGGTTTGGACTTGGAGGGCTTGCTGTAGAAGTTATGGGAGGTGAAAAGATGGTGTCAATGACCTGCCACTCCCCCCACCCCATTCCTCCCCCAGTTTTCTCTTCAGCTTCTGCAGGGTAAGGCTGTGGGGGACAGGCTTGGCCATGGACCCACTCTCAGAGCTGCAGGACGACATGACCTTAGATGATACCAGCCAGGCTCTGAACCAGCTGAAGCTGACTTCCATTGACGAGAAGAACTGGCCCTCGGATGAAATGCCAGACTTTCCCAAGTCAGGTGGGCACTGCCAGATCTTAGGTGGCCACAGGCACCCTAGAGGGGAAACCCCTTCCTGCTGAAGGGAAACCCTGGGAGAGCAGGATGGGGGCAAGCACTCCCCATGGTGGGGGTGGGGCAGGAACACAAGCCTTTCTGGGGGGAGTGCCAAAGAACATGAGTCTCAGGGGGAGCACTGCACCAGCCCCCTGGGTTGACCGCTTACTTGGTCGTATTTTTCAGATGATTCCAAATGCAGCTCCCCAGAACTTGTCACACACCTGCAGTGGGATGACCCTTACTATGACATCGCCCGGCACCAGATTGTGGAGGTGGCAGGTGAGCACAGCCAGCATTGCACCCTTTTCCTCACAGGCGAAGCCAGCCCCTCATGCCATGGGGAGGGGGACTGGTGTGGGAGCAGGTGCCCAGAACTCCTGAGCACAGGTGCCGTTCTTTAAAATCATGACTTGATTATGATTGCCATTCAGTACTGTCACCTGCAACCCTATCCTGACCTATGATCCCATCGTCTCCATGGGGGCGGTATGTGGGAAGCAGTGGGGCCTAGTGGCTTTGAAGTCAGAAAGCCCTGCGTTTGATTTCAGCTCTGCTGCTTAGTGGCAGAGTGACTTTGGACAAGGAACTTGACTTCTCTGAACTCGTTTCTTCCTCACGGGGGGGGGGGTCGTTGAGAGGATTACAATAGTGAATTTATGTCAGCGCCTGGCCTGAGCCAGAAGAGAGTAGGCTCAACAAGTGGCCATTCCTTTCCCCTCACCAGCTCCCTTCCCTTTGGCCGGCCATCAGCTTTGTCATCCCATCAGTTACCGGGGAGGGAGGACGCGAGCCCCTCCTGGGAAACCCACCTCGAAGTGAGTCTGGAGTGGTCAGAGCCTCCTTCTAGAAGTGAGGGGCCACGTGAGGGGTATTAGGTTCCCCACAGATGTGCTACCCTGCTGGGAATGGGGGTTGCTCCCCAGGGTCTCTGCCTCAGCGAGCTCCCACCCTTCTGCTCGTGAAGCAGGGCCCAGAATAAACCAGGAGGAGGAATATTAGCTAGGATGTTGATGACCATCAGTTCCTGCTCTTAGGGCCCTTTGCTAGAAGGGAAAATTGGAATTGTGGGATCTTTTGTCTTTTCCCTAATGGTTGTCTGCCCTTGGCTGGTGCGACCAGGCAGCTGTAAGCAAGGGTGATAGCATAGCACTGTTCTGAGGCATCAGGATGGGCAAGGGGACCCAGGTGGACCGTGGCCCCTGGAGCCTAGCATGATGCCCGGTGAAGGGCCTAGAAGAAGCCTAGAGGCATCTGGACATAGGGAAGCAGCAGGGGGCACCATCTCTCCCATATGTTGGGCTCAAAGAGGAACGGGACAGTTGGGAGGATTGTCCTGGTGTTAAAGGTGTTTCCCTGTGGCACCTGTGTTCCTGGTGCCTGCCCTGGTCTGGGTAAGTGTTCTTAGCTTTGTCCTCTCTCATCCCTACTGAGAGTTCTTTCCTGGCCTGTGCATAACATGGGCATGGAAGCGTCACCTAAGGTCCATAACCTTTGTGCCTCAGTCTCTCAGAGATGGACTGGTCGGATGTGGGGGATGTTTGGTGCGAAGGAGTCTCTGTCCTGACATCATCTTGGCCTATGAGGTCACATCACAAGGCATAGCTGGGGAGGCTGGCCTCCCACCTTGGGTGCCTCTCTGCCCCCTGCAAGTAGGGCTGCAACATGTTTCTGTTTCCCCAGGGTGCGATGAGCCTGAGGGGGCCCAGCCAGGTAGGTGTCAGTCCTGTCCCGGCTCTCTGTGCTTGAACTCTGGACCCTGGGCTGCGACCTCGGGGACTGTTGATCGGGAAGGGCTCTCGGTGGAGGCCAGGTGGGACCAGCTTAATTGCAGCCCCACTCCAGGGAACTGGTGGTATCTGGGAGCTGGAAATAGGAAAGAAATTGTTACGATTGTGGGTCGGGGGGCAGGCTGTGTGGAGATACACCCAGAATCCAAACGAAAAGAAGCTCCGGGGACAAAAGGGCCTTGTCCCTCCCCCGCTTCATACTGGCCCTGGCTGTGTGCAGTGGCCTGCCCTGGGTGCTGGCCCCTCAAGCCTGAATGCAGAATGCTGGCTCAGGGACCTGCTGGGTGTCCTGCTTGATGAGACCATGGTGATGTCCTAGGAGGCTGCTTCCTGGTACTGGAAACCAGAGAATGAGCCCATGCTGGAAGGGAGGATGCCCCCAACTCTTCTGCAGTCTTGCCCTGGCTAGCAGCGGCTGTCATGGTCCATGGTCAAATTTGGCCCAGTCCATGTGGGCTCTTTCCAGTGGTGTGCTGGTAAATGTTTAACAACTGGCTCCCCAGAAATGGGGGAAAAAAAAAAAAAGACCACTATTTGTAGCATTTACCAGTTTCTAGCATGGCCAACTTCAAGCTACCAATATGATGTCAACTAGCTTGCAAAATTCCTGACAATTTAATAGTTGGCTTCTGCAAGCATGGTTCTATCAGTCCCAGCCCCCACCTCCATCTCTGGCCTGCTCTGCAGGTTGTGGGTGTGGTCAGGCGGCTGGTCTGGCAGTTTCCACAGTGCCAGCCCAGAGAAGCTGTATTGTTGCTGATTAACACCCAGGCCACCCTGGGAGAGTTCCTGATTGGTATCTGGGGAATACAGATGCCTCACTCTCTGGGGCAGCTCGTCTTTTCCTGTGCTTTCCACAAACACTGTACCTCTTTCCTCATTGGGTCCTTTCCCCAGTGCTCTGGAGGAGGGGAGTTCCGGGCCTTTTTACATGTGCTTCCTGTAACAGCATTCACCCTTCCTGCTGGTGAATGCCTGGCCACCTAAGGACTTGGGGAGTGGGACTCTGCTCCAGGAAGTGGAGGGCAGGGTTAGACTCTAGAATTGCCTATATTCTTCTTCCTCACCTATCTGGGAGTCTTGCCATCCAACTCCTCAGTGATCCCCACACCCACCCCCATCCTGGGTTCATTCAACATGCATTTATAGAACACCTACTCTGGAACAAGCCTTGTAGTCAGCATTGGGGATTCAATGAGGCAAAACACACATTTCCTTCCTCAAGGAGCTTACAGTCTAGTGAAGTGGTTCCTAAAACTGGTCACCATCCCCTTCGAGAACTTGAAAGGTTGGACCTCTTCCCCTAGAAAAAATCTGCATGTAATTGTAATATTTTTCATATAACATCATAGAATTGGTAGGTCCCCCATTGATGGGGCTCTGGTTGAGAATCCAAAGTTTCTCATTTACAAGGGGCTATGGCCAGCTGAGGAGCCCTGGTGGCACAGTGGTTAAGTGCTCAGCTGCTAACTGAAAGGTTGGAAGTTCTAAGCCACCAGTGGCTCCACAGGAGAAAGATATGGCAATCTGCTTCCATAAAGATTTACAGCCTTGCAAACCCTATGGGGCAGTTCTACTGTATCCTACAGGGTCAGAACCGACTCGACAGCAATGGGTTTTTTTGGTTTTTTTTGTATGACCAGCTGAGAGATGGAACCACAGGCCCCTGACCCCTTGCCCCCAACTGCTTGCTGAACCAGTTACTAGATCTTTAAATTCCAGGGCTGGGTGAGCGCACAGACCTTTTGCCCTCTTGAAGCCCTCAAATCTGCCAGCCAATGTGGCCCATAAAATGGCAGCCTTACTGTTGGGAGGACAGGGATGGAAAGAATCTTTCGGGGGCCCCCATGCTGCTCCCTGCATTTTCCCCTCCGTCCTCTGTTTCAGATGATTCTTCTTTTCTGGAGGAGGTCTCAGTGGTTTCTGAGATTCCAGACTCTACAAGAGACTGGGCTTGCCAGTCTGACTCTTTGTCGCTGCCCTCTGCCAGTCTGTTCTTCTTTCCCTGTCAGAGTCAGTGGAAAGAGAATCAGAGCAGACACTTGGCCCCAGACCCTCACCCCAGCATGTCAGGATCTATTCTAGGGTATGAAAGAGAACAGGTGGTACCTGGTCCCCCAAAATAACCTGCTTCTGGATGGAGCTGCACCTTCTTCTCCTCAGACAGGCTCATAGAGGGTCCTCTGCCTGTAAGTCTGGAGAAATTATGCCTCAGACTTTGGGAGACTCGCTGTCTAAAGACAGTCCAACCTCATAACCTAAGCATCTTCACAAACAAACTCAGAAACAGAACAGTGTACATCATGGAATGCTGACCGTAATCCATGCCGGCTCCCAGCATTTATTGAGTTCCTGGTGTGTGCTAGGCACTGGAGCAGGCACTTGGCATTCAAAGATGGCTGAGATACCATCCCTGTCTTCAAGCAGCTCACAAGCCAGTAGAGGAGACAGGTGCATAAATAATCATGCAGGAGGGTTGGAGTGTCATGACAGGGATGGATGACAGTATATGCAGGGAGCCATGGGAAGGGACAGCTGCCCTGTCTGGGAGAAGAGGGCACAGGCTTCTGGGAGTAGATGTGTCTGGGTTGAGTCTTAAGGATTCATAGAAGTTAGCCTAGAGTTGGGAAGCAGAATCATCTAGAAAAAAGGTCTGTCTACTATGAGAAACTGCAGAGGCTCAAACCTGGCTTATGTGGGCAGGGGCTTTAAGCACTTCTGTGTTGGTGTGCACAGTGTGAGCCTGGGGAGAGGCAGGGGCCAAGTCCATAGACCCCTGTGAGCTGTTCCAAGGAACATTTACTGCACTGGGAGCCCAGAAGAGTAGATCTGGTTGTGGGGGTTAGGATGAAAGGAGGATTTAGGGAGGTAGAGTTGGGGGTTAAAAAGAAAAAAAGATAAAGCCAAACCAATTGCGGTGGAATCAACTCTAACTCATGGTGACCCTATGTGTGTCAGAGTAGAACTGTGCTCCACCTGGTTTTCAGTGGCTGATTTTTCAGAAGTAGTTCACCAGGCCTTTCTTCTGAGGTACCTCTGCGTGGACTTAAACCTCCAGCTTTTGGATTAGCAGCCAAGTGCGTTAACCTTTTGCACCACCCAGGGACTCTGGGGTTTATAATTCTCCAGGACTAGGAGGGAGGGCAGAGTCTCTCTAGGCTTGATGGGCTGGACCTCAGAGCCTTGCCCTGGTTAGGACCTGTCAGGGCAAACAGGCCAGGCAGTGTTTTGGGTTGAGATGGGAGAGTTGGAGGGGCTGGACAAGGTAGTCAGACTGTTGAGGGGGAGGCGCCAAATTAGGGCAAAGCACCAGGCTGTGCAGCCTTCAGGGACTGGGGCCACCCTGCCCACATTCCAGAAGCCTCTTTCAACCCCTCCATTGAACCTTGCCCCAGCCCTAGAGAAAAGGGTCAGGGCCTTGGCAAGCATTTTGGAAAACACTGACTCCTCTTAAGTTACTGACCATGAAAGAAAGATCAAGATCATGGCTTATTACTTTTTTTAATTAATATTTTATTTTATTTTTGGTAAAAATATACACAGCAAAACCTGCTCCCATTGAGCAGTTTCTAGACGTAATCAACGACATTGGTTACATTCGTCACATTGTGTCAACATTCTCATTATTTCTGTTCTAGTTGTCTCACCTCCCTTGACCTAAACTCCCCACCCCCATACTTCTCATCTATGTGTTAAAATAGCTGTTGTCCATTTGGTCTTATATAGATAATTTTTTAAAAAGAATGCAATACTCTAGGCTGACAGTCTTTACTTTTTGAGCTAAACTGCTACTTAGTTTAGAGGTGACTTCAGGGGATAGTTTTGATTCAAGGTTTGAAGAGGAACTCAGGGCAGTAGTCTCAGGGACTTCTTTAGCCCCAGTAGGTCCAGTAAGCCTGGATTCTTTAAGAATTTGAAGTTCTTTTCCACATTTTTCTCCTTTTCTGTCAGGATCCATCTATTGTGTCCCTGATCAGAAGGTTTAGTAGTGGTAGCCAGGCAGCACCATCTAGTTCCTCTGGTGTCAAGGTAGAGGAGGCGGTGGTTCATGGAGACAGTCAGTCCTGTAGTCCAGTTCCTTCTCTGATTCTTGAGTTTCCTTCTTTCTCTTTTGTTCCATATGACTAAATCCCAACAGTTTTATCTTCGATGGCTGCTCATAAGCTTTTAAGGCCCCAGATACTACTCACCATACCGGGACGTAGAACATAAGCTTTAAGAACTATATTATGCCAATTAACTGGGTTGTCCCACAAGACCAAGGATCATGGCTTATTAAATATGGGGAACACTCAGTGAGGAGCGGGGCAATCCTTCATCCTTAGAAGTAGATGAAGGACAGACCATCACTCAGTTCGTGGGTTGTGTAAGTGGTCTTGTGATGCAATGGGCATTAGAAAATTGTTGTCTGGTGCCTCTGGAGAGGCCTGAGGACAGAGGTGAAAGGAAGGTTCCTGGGACATGGGGAGGGGTTCAGGCCTTGTCCCCACTGAGCTTTGCTTGGCGTCCCTGATCCCACACTGACTCTGGGAGAGCTTCTCACTTTGGGGAGCATACATATGCCTTAGAACTCCCTGCTTCATGACAGAGCCAGACGGTCCAGCCACCACATTGTGACTATTTTTACGAACATCCTGAGTGAACCCACCCAAACGAGCATTTTCCCACATTACAGACTTCTCTGCACTCCAGGATTTTTAGAATATCCTTCATGAGAAAGGATATGGGTTTTAGAAATGGCCAGAAGTCAGTCAGAGCCATGTCTGGTCAATAATTCTAGTAATAAAATCAGAAAGTATTTTCAGTACTTAAAAATGACTAGTGAGACTGTTGAAATAGCAAATATTTTGTGCATATATATTTACCACACACACACATGCAAAGACTAGTAAGTAATCAGACTGATTTTCTTGGTGGCCTCAGACTTACTGAGAAGGTAGCTTCAAGAGATATTTTAAATACATGCTGCTCAGTGGGGTTTGTTTTTGGAATAACTGTTGCTTTTAAGATGACCATCTGGCAAGATTCAATTGCTTTAGTGGGTGTAACTTTTTAAAAGTCATGTTTTGTTTTTAATATCCCTGCTCAATGTCCTGAGAGCAACTCGACCTGTCCTTCCTTCTTCGGGTACACCACCCTGAGTGGGGGAGGCTACCCAGAGGTGTATCTGCATGGGCCACTCTGGCCCTGTACTAAATGGTAGAGGACTCCAGGCCTGGCACCTTTACATTCCTCACCCCACTTCTCTTGGTTCACCTCTGACCCACTGTGCTCCATCTTTCTCCATGCCTAGGAGATGACAAGTATGGGCGGAAGATCATTGTATTTAGTGCCTGTCGAATGCCCCCTAGCCACCAGCTGGACCACAGCAAGCTCCTGGGGTGAGTATTGGTGGGTAGTGGTGGGACCTTTGCCCAGATCCCCAGTTTAACCCAATGCCATTTTCCTTACTGACCTTCCCTGCCCGGGGTGCTGGACCACCTCTCTGAATGACTCCGCTCTTCTCCTGAGGGAGCTATTTTATATGAGAGACAGCATTGGGCTGGGCAGCAGACCTGGTTTCTAGTCATGGAGACTTACTGTCTGTGCTGCCTTGGCAAGTGTCTTCATCTCTTTAAGCCTCCTTTTCTTTATCTTTGGAAAGGGGATAATAATGTAGTGCAAATGGTTAAGCACTTGGCTGCTAAACAAAAGATTGGTGGTTCCAACCCACCCAGCTGCTCCTCAAGAGGAAGACCTGGCGATCTGCTTACATAAGGTTTAGAGCCATGAAAACCCTACAGGGCAGTTCTACTCTGTCACTTGGGGCCACTAGGAGTTGGAATTGACTCGACGGCATACAATAGCAACAATACCCTCCTCACAGGAGTGAGATACTGCAAAGTCAAAGTGCTTTGAAAACTACTGTCTGAATGTAAGGGCTTATTATAATAGTTACATGGTGCATCTGGTATGGTTGCTATTGTTCGTCATTTATATGAATACTTATTATCTTAGTTTGTGCTCAGATAAATTTGGTATCAATGATTTCTGAAACTATCTGGGTTCTGTTAGCCAAATATATATAATAGCTTTGGGTGGTGTAGAAATCTCCTGACGTAAATCTGAAGGCTGGTTTAATGCAGAAGCTTGATAGGCCCTCTTCCTATAGGTATCCACTGCTGCTGGTTACTGAGCCCCCACTGGGCCAGGCTTTGGGCTCACAGTAAGGACAGAGCTCGTCCCTGCCCCCCAAGCTCCCTGTCCAGCCCATAGAGTGGATAGAGAAATAACCGACTTCCTCCTGATGGGCCTCAGTACATGTAAAGTTACCATTGTGTACTTCTTTCCTGGACGGTTTAAAACACTCCCCCAAATTTAAAATCTTTTCTGTACTGACTGAAACCAGTTCTTTGAGATCCTGAATGGTTGTGTGTGTGGGTGTGGGTGTGGGTTTGGGTGTGGGTGTACAAGGTGGTGTGGGGTCAGGAGCAGGCCAAGAGTGAGGCAGCAGAAGGGGAAGGGCCAGATTCTGGGCGTCTCAGCTAGTCAGCAGGGGAGCATGGCCCAGAGGCTGAGCCTCCCCAGCCTTTGTCTGCCTGTTCTTTCTGTTTGGCTTTCTGAACTCCCCTCCCACCTCTTCTCAGACAAGGCAGGCAGGCCTACCACGTGGCATGGCAGAACCAAGAATAGGCCAAGGAACTCAGCCTGAGGGTGGCTGAGTCACACCTCACCCTTCTGGTTTTATCACAGTGTGTGACATAACAAATGACAGACTCCTGGCTAGAGAACAATCTGAGTGGGGAGGAAGTCAGAAAATGGGGGTGGGAAAGCACCCAGTTTTCCAGGAGACAGTTTGCTGAGTGAGGCTGCACCCACTCTGAGGCTGCCTCAGGGTTCAGGAAGCCCTCTTCCATCTATTGCTCTCTGTCCTCCAACCCTTCCTGGGTAATACCCCCCATCACCTCCCCCAGCTTGGTCACAATCCCTGCTGAGAGCAGGGAGGTGCTGCCACCATTCCTGCCATCTTGCATTCAGTCAGTTATCTTAGTCCTGGCTTCCCCCAGCTGTCCACTCAGATCTGGGGGGTGGAAATAGAAAACACCTGAGACTTGGAGTCAGAAGACCAATTAAACTTGAGCTCTGTGGCAGGTCTCTTAAGAACCCTATAAAAGTAAAGATTGTGTCCACCTCATACGGTTGGGGGGATTAGATAAGGTAATATACATGAGAGTCCCTGGGTAGCAAAAATGGGTAAGGGCTTGCTACTAACCAAAAGGTTGGAGGTTTGAGTCCACCCAGAGACACCTTGGAAGAAAGGCCTGGAGATCTACTTCCAAAAAATCAGCCATGGAAAACCCTACGGAGCACAGTTCTACTCGGACACAGGAGTCATGAGTTTGAATTGGTTTTGGTTGGTTTTTGATGTACCTGAAATGCTACTGTATACATTTTTAAAGTATTTTAAATTTTGAGAATTTAGAAAAATGTAGGTAGCTATAAAGAAAAATGTTGTTGTTGTGTGGCGTTGAGTCGATTCCAACTTATAGCGACCCTATTGGACAGAGTGGAACCGCCCAGGGGGTTTCCTAGGCTGTAATCTTTACGAGAGCAGATCACCAGGTCTTTTCTTCCACTGAGTGGCTGGTGGGTTTCAGGTAGCAGCCAAGCACTTAACCATTGCGCCACTGTGGCTCCTTAAAGAAAAAGTAACAACAACTATAAAGAAAAAGTAAAGTCATTCATAAATCCACCAACCAGAGAGAAAACCACTGTTATTCACATCCTGTTTCTTTCTAGAATGTACACTGAACTCCGTGGTTGGTTTTGTATCTGGCATAACAATTTTTCTTCTGAGCATTAAATAGCTTCCAAAAACATCTTTTAAAGAACATTTTAACCAGACTTACTGGTTTGACAGAGACTGCAAAAACCCTGAGAGTATGGCCCCCGGACACGCTTTTAACTCAATACCGAAGTCACTCCTGAGATTCACCCTTCAGCCAAAGGTTAGACAGGCCCATAAAACAAAACGAGACTAAATGGGCATACCAGTCCAGGGGCTAGGACAAGAAGGCAGGAGGGGACAGGAAAGCTGGTAATAAGGAACCCAAGGTCAAGAAAGGGAGAGTGTTGACATGTCATGGAGTTGGCAACCAATGTCACAAAACAATATGTGTATTAATTGTTTAATGAGAAACTAATTTGCTCTGTAGACCTTCATCTAAAGTACAATTTAAAAAAATTGGCATATAATATATATGCAGAAAACTGAACATGCTATAAATGTACAGCTTGATGAGTTTTATAAAATTGAACACACCTACGTCACGTGTACCCCTGAAACCCCCCTCCTGTTCTCTCAGTCACTCCCCCTTGGAAAGGTAATGTCTTAGTCATCTAGTGCTGCTCTAACAGAAATACCACAAGTGGATGGCTTTAACAAAGAGAAGTTTATTCTCGCACAGTCCAGTAGGCTACAAGTCCAAATTCAGGGTGTCAGCTCCAGGAGAAGGCTTTCTCTCTCTGTCGGCCCTGAAGGAAGGTCCTTGTGATGCATCAGTCTTCCCTTGGTCTGGGGGCATCTCAGTGCAGGAACCTCTGGTCCAAAGGACGCGCTCTGCTCCCGGCACTGCTTTCTTGGTGGTGTGAGGTTCCCATGTGTCTCTGCTCACTTCTCTCTTTTATATCTCAAAAGAGGTTGGATTAAGACACTATCTAATCTTGTAGATGTCATCAGTATAACCTCATCATAATGATAGAGTTTACAACACGTAAGGAGATCACATATAACCTCCTCATAGTGATAGAGTTTACAACACACAAGGAAATCACATCAGATTACACAATCATATACAATACTGTGAATCATGACCCAGTCAAGCTGACAGACTTTTTTGGGGGACACAATTCAATCCATGACAGGTAACCCTGATTCTGACAGCTAACCGCACAGATTAGTTGTGTCTGTAGAAATATCCTGTGAGGTTTTCTATTTATGTATCTCCCATGATTTATTTAACCGATTCCCTGTTGTTGGATATTTTGCTTCCTGCTCTATTTTATTTTATTTTTTGCCATTATAAAAAAATGCTGCAATGAACAGCCTTCTACAAGAATGTTTCTGTTCATCTCTGATTGTTTTCTTAAAATAAATTCCTAGACATTTTTACAGGGTCAATAGTATTAACATTTACAGTTCCTGATAAACATCACTTTATTGGACTCCAAAGGTAATAACGCCCATCAGTGGATAAGAGTGTCTATTTTCATTATAATATTGGTTATATTTATCATTGCAAAACACCATCCTTTTATGTGACAGCTCTTTATAACCACAAAGTGCTGAATGTGTATAAAGGGGTACTATTGTATGGTTAACAGTGATTCCAATCACAATAATAGTCCAGCATTTGCCACCTCCCAGGCCCTGATGTGCTGCCCACCCAGCACCCCTTGACCAGGATTTGGGTTACCTTCTCTGGGTTAGGTCCATTTGTATCTGGCACTTGGTCAAATGCTTGGGCACTTCCCTGGGCTCCTCCCTCCTCTCTCCTTGCCCTTGGCGATCCTTAGCATTCCTGCCTGCCTCAGCCTGCAGTGGTGTTTCCATGGGAGCCTGGGAGCTGGCTGGCCAACCACTCCCAGAAAGAAGGTTTCACAATGGACTCCCCTCCCTTTCTTGAATTCTTGTTCATTCCATCCATACTTCTCCCTGAGGTGGCCTTTACAACTTGGGTGTGTGTGCAGGTGCGTGTGCACGCGTGAGCCTGTGTATGTGCCATGACTTGAGCAGGAAAGAGGACCCCCTGGCCAGGAGAGCCCCTGTCAGACACAATGATTTACATCCTGCGCTTGTGTGGGGAGTCTGGTGTAAAAGGCAGAGCTGTTGCGTTGTCAAGAATTGTTAGGCAATGGAGTCAGACAGTTCACCTCCAGACTCCTCCACAAGCTGTGCAGCCTTGGATCAGTACTTGACTTCTCTGAGCCTCTTTGTCCTCATTTGTAAAATGGAGAAAATATCAGCCTCCATTGTTATGAGGAGGAAATGAGGTAATGAATGTGAAGTGTTTGGCAGACACTAAAAACTTAATAGTAATAAATGGTGGCTATTATCATTATTATTGACGCCTCAGGCAACTCTGTGAGGGAAATATTATTCCCATTTTCACTGCAAGTATGTGAGAGGGCCCGGTTAGATTCCTGGTCTCCTGATTTCTAGTTGGTGCTCAAAAATGAGAACTATTATTATTATTGTTATTATTCCTCCACCTTGCCCAGCCACTGCCCTGTGCCTCCACAATATACACAGTGACTGGTTATGCAGTCAGAAGTGACGTGCGAGTGCAATGCAAGGGGAGGGGCTCGCGGGGAAGGTTGTGATGTAAGCAGGAGGCTCGCTCGGAGGCATTGGTTTCTGCTTTCATGGGGGCCCCGTTTATGCCCAGCTCTGCCCGAGGTGGATCAGGCCTGAGCGGGGCTTTGCTCTGGGCAGGTACCTGAAGCACACCCTGGATCAATACGTGGAGAGTGACTACACGCTGCTCTACCTGCACCACGGCCTGACCAGTGACAACAAACCCTCGCTCAGCTGGCTCCGGGATGCCTACCGGGAGTTTGACCGCAAGTGGGTTGGGGCGTGAGGGTGGGTTTCATGGCCTAGGGCAGGTGACTCTGGAGCCAGCAGCTCTCCCAGGTTCTGGGCTGCCCTCTGCTTGGCAGGAACTTACTCCATGCCGAGGGAGACAGGTGCCTCTGCCTGGTAGACACAGAGTCTGAAGTCAGAATGACCTGGGCTTAAGTCCCAGGTTCTCTCCTTACTCACTTTGTGATCTTTGATGTTACTTGGCCTTTCTGAGCCTCCATTTCCTAATCTGTAACATGGGACAACGGTGGCACCTGCTCGTAGGCTTTCCATGGGCAGTCAGATCAGAAGCTGTGCATCAAGAATTTAGCTCTGTGCCTTCCCTGCTCCTTCCCATGCTCCTCTCACTCCACCTTCGCAGGTACAAGAAGAACATCAAGGCCCTGTACATCGTGCACCCCACCATGTTCATCAAGACCTTGCTTATCCTCTTCAAACCCCTCATCAGGTGAGTGGCCCAAGATGGGCCAGGCTTCCCGTGCTTCCCCTTTAACCCAGAAGCAGATACCTGCAGGGCCCAAGCAGCTTAGGGGCTGGGCCTCTGGGTGGGCTGCTGAGGAGACAGTGGAGGCCCTTGGAGGGCACCCCCACCCCTTGACCCACACCCTTTCTTCCGTGGGCAGCTTCAAGTTTGGGCGGAAGATCTTCTATGTGAATTACCTGAGTGAGCTGAGCGAGCATGTGAAGCTGGAGCAACTGGGGATCCCTCGCCAAGTGCTCAAGTGAGGTCGGGGGGTGGGCAGCTGGGGGGCTGTGGGCACATGTGTATAGGTGTGCTTTGTTGCCAGTAAAGGGGAGGGGAAACCTTGAGACCTGGGGGTGACTAGAGGAAGTGAGTGTAATAATTAAGGGACAGCATACAGGGTCAGACAGAGCGAGTTCAAATCCCATTTCTGTTCTTAAATGCTGTGTGATGGAATCTCTTTAAAGCCTTAGCTTTCTCATGTGTAAAGTAGGGTAGTTATGAGGATTAAATGAAATAATCCATGTAAAGTAGCCCCTCCATGCTTGATAACAAGGTTTGCCATGACGACTACAGAGCCTAGGGAGTGACCCTGACCCCCACCTGCTCCCTCAGGTATGATGACTTCCTCAAATCCACACAGAAGAGCCCAGCGACAGCCCCCAAGCCCATGCCACCACGGCCGCCTCTGCCCAACCAGCAGTTTGGGGTCTCATTGCAGCAGTGAGTATGCGAAAGGTGGGCAGGCCCGGTGCTTGGCTGCTGGGGCCAGGAGGGGCTGCAGACCCCTTACTGCCCTTGTTCCCTCAGCCTCCAGGAGAAGAACCCAGAGCAGGAGCCCATTCCACTTGTGCTCCGGGAGACCGTCGCCTACTTACAGGCCCATGGTAAGCCCAGGCCCCTGGCCATGGTGGCACCAAACCCTCTTACCTCCAGGCTTACCTCCATACTGGCCTTTCCCCCTCAGCCTGGACCCAGCCTTCTCCTCAGCTGGGTCCCCTAGCTCCCGTTGCCGAGAGAGAGGTCCTACATGTATCAGCACTCCCACTGACCCTGACTGGAGCCCCAAGATGGACTGGCTCCGAGCGCTGAGACTCACCAGCCCCCTCTGTTTCCCAGCTCTCACCACCGAGGGGATTTTCCGGAGGTCAGCCAACACCCAGATTGTGCGGGAAGTGCAGCAGAAGTACAATGTGGGTGAGTGGTCGTAGGACTGCGTCCAGGCCCACGGGTGGGACTGTGTGTGACTGTCAGGGGCTTCTCTGCCTACTTCTGCCCTGTAAATGAGGGCCCCAGATTCTGTTCCTGTCAGAGGTTTCTGGGGCATTTGGTATCATTATGTGGGTCCCACTCCTTCCTGGCTGTCCCATGCCTGCTGCCTCATTGTCAGGCTTCTGGCCCCTGGGGTCCAAGCTCATTCAGAGGGGAGGGACAACTGTAGTGTGTGCTGGGGGCCCACTCTGCCCAGATGGCCTGAACCTGCATCCCCTTGTCACAGAGGAAGGGAGGAGGCAGGTACAAGAGGAGGCTCCCTGGGAGGCGGGGCTTATGCGGTAGCTGAGGTCAAAGCTGGGCAGTGGGTCGGCTTGGCCTTGGATGGGAAGCTGGTGTCCAGGCTGGGACGAGCTCCTCCCCACCATCCGTCCCCACTGACCCCCTCCCCTCCAGGGCTGCCTGTGGACTTCAACCAGTACAATGAGCTGCACCTGCCAGCCGTCATCCTCAAGACCTTCCTCCGGGAGCTTCCCGAGCCCTTGCTCACTTTTGACCTCTACCCCCACGTCGTGGGCTTCCTCAGTGAGTGTCCTTCTCTTCTCTCCCCAGCTGTGCACCTCTTCTGCTAGGGCTGGGGCCAGACTTGGAGCACGTGTGTTTGGCTATCCATTGACCAACATTTCCCTTCAGGCTGTGGGCTTTGGTGTCTCCAAGATAAGTCTGGTTGGGGTCTCCCCTCTTGCCTTGTGTCAGGGCTTCCTGAGCCGGGCCAGCCTAGGGTCTCCATGTGGCCATTCATACAGCCCTGAGATCTGGGCCCCTGTCTTAGTCATCTAGTGCTGCTATAACAGAAATACCACAAGTAGATGACTTTAACAAACAGAAATTTATTCTCTCACAGTTTAGGAGGTTAGAAGTCCAAATTCAGGGTGCCAGCTCTAGGGGAAGGCTTTCTGTCTCTATCAGCTCTAGGGGAAAGTCCTTGTCTCCTTTCAACATCTGTCGGCCCGTTGTTCGTTGGAGATCTCCATGTGTCTTGGCATCAGTCTTCCCCAATCTCTGCTTGCTTGCTTCTTTGTTTAATCTTTCATATCTCAAGAGAGATTGACTCAAGGTACACCCTAATCCTGCCTCATTTACATAACAAACATAATCTTATCCTCATTAACATAACTTAATCCTGCCTCATTAAAACCACAGGCCAAAAACCAAACCCACTGCTGTGGAGTCGATTCTGACTCACAGTGACCCCATAAGGTTTCCAAGGCTGTAAATCTCTACAGAGGCAGACTGCCACCTCTTTCTCCCATGGACCACAGGTGGTTTCAAACCGCCGACCTTTTGGTTAGCAGCCGATTGCTTTAACCACTGTGCTACCAGGGCTCCTTAAAAACCACAGGCAGAGGTGAGAATTTATAACACATCACAAAATGGAGGATAATCACATCAGATCACAAAATGGAGGACAACCACACAATACTAGGAATCATGGCCTAGCCAAGTTGACACATTTTGGGGGTGCACAGTTCAGTCCATGACAGCCCCCATTCCTCATAGACATTGATGAGAGTCAGAGAGTGGAGGTGACGCTGCAGGTCCTCCAGACGTTGCCTGAGGAGAACTACCAGGTGCTTCGTTTCCTGATTGCCTTCCTGGTCCAGGTGAGACATCAGCCTCAGTATCCACTGCTCACCTGGGGGTGAAGGGAGGGAGGGGGAGGCAGGGCCTTTGGCTTCCTGCTGCAACCCCACATTCCCTCCACAGATTTCTGCCCACAGTGACCAGAACAAGATGACCAACACTAACCTGGCTGTGGTCTTCGGCCCTAACCTGCTGTGGGCCAAGGATGCTGCCATCACCCTCAAGGCCATTAATCCCATCAATACTTTCACCAAGTTCCTGCTGGATCATCAGGGGGAGTTGTTTCTTAGCCCTGACTCCAAGCAGCTGTGAGCCCAGCCTCCACCCCACCAGCCCTATTTTCTGACACCCCAGTTTGGACTCTTCTTGGACTCCTGCCCAGGAAGGGGCAGTGAAGCCGCCCGGGACATAGAAGCTGGAGCTAGCAGACCTGGCAGCTCCTCCTCCTCTCTGTCCAGCCCACCTCATGGCCCTGGAGGCCTTGCTATTACCACAGACATTTTTCTTCTTCGCCTTATACTTCTCACTGCCTCCTGGAGCCCTGGCTCCTGCTGGGCTCTCCAGAAGAGCTGGGCTCAGCTCCTCCAGCTGGAGAAGGACTGAATCCCAGCAGCCCTTTTCATGCTTTCTCCTGCCCTGTTTCCCTGGCAACTGTGGATGATCAAGTCACTGCCAGCTGGGCTGGTAGCTGGGGCTGGCCCTCTCCTTCTGGATTGCTGGGGAATGGAAGGCTGAGCTCCTAGGCTTGGGCCTAGCTAGGCTGAGGCTCTTTCCTGCCTGGGTCTCTTGCCCTGACCATCAAAATTCCCACAGCGAGAAGGCCTGGAAGCAAACACCTTGCTCATGTCCTCCCCTCTGCAGGCTCAGCCTTTGGTATTTCCACAGCCAAGGAGTGACAGGGCTGGAGTCTGCTTCCTATTTCTGCCTCCTTCCACACATCCTAGGTCAGCCTTCTTCAAGTTGTACTGCCCCAGGGAGTCCCAACGCCCTGGTTCTGCCAGGACTGGCAGCTTGGGCGACAGGGCTCAGAGGGAGGCCCAGCCAGTCCCAGCTTCCATTCTAAATACATATAGACACCCCACTCCCATCGCGAGCAGCTTCAGGTCCAATCAGTGACAAGCTTCCTTCCACTTGGATGGGTCCTCACCTACAGGCTCTGTGAACCTGTCTGTTGTGGAGTCAGACTGGTCCTTGCTCTGGCCAGAGGTGACAGAATGCCTCAGGGTCTGTGGGGAGCCTCCATCCAGCTGAGGGGTTCCTGGAGGGGGCTAGAGTGGAGGCTTGGAGTGCCTATGGAGAGGTGGAGGAGACTCTGCTCATAGATCAGCTCCTGCCAGGTGAACTCTAGCAACCTCCCCCAGAGAGCATGGGGCCCCAGGACCCTCCTGTCTTTCATAAAACCTGGACCTCAATCATGATTAATAGCCCTCATTCTAGCTGTGTCCCTTAGTATTACACTCCTCCCTGGTGAACTCTGAGGACCCTTGTCCCTGGTAGCAAGGAAATACCTGCACAGTGGCCCTGCCCACACATCCTTGGCCAGGCAGGGCAGCTCTAGATGCTACCCCATGGGGGTCCTCTGAGCAGCCCAGCCCCATCTGCAAGCCAGGTGACTGGTGTATCAGGACTCCCAGGGCCTGGGAGCTGCTGCTGGTTGTGTCTCTGTGGCTGGACTGCTTTCTGCCTTGCTTTGTATATTGAGTGTTGCTTACAGCCCCATTGATGGGGAGCCTTTTGGATCTCTTTGGTCTTTCTCCTGTCCCATTCCCCACGGTCCATACCTGGGGGCGCTTGTACTGTGGACCAAGTGTTCACATTCATACTTAATGACCTCCTGGGCACCAATCATGTATTTCACCATTTGTACTTTTTGTATTTCAATAAAAATGGAGATGGAAAACTGCCCATCTGGCTGGAGTTAAGTGGGTCATGGAGGTTCAGAGCCAGATGGCAATTGTGTGGTTGAGGAGAGAGCAGATGAGGCCTCAGGAGGAACCCACCCCATTCTTGTTCACTTGTAACTGGGTATGAGCTCAGCTTTCTGACATCTTCCAGGCTTCAAGTGTGAACAGTCACGTTTCATTGTTTTGCACTTGGTGCATTCCAACTGACTGCATGTGCTGTATCTTATGGTCAACGTGTCTTCTGCCCCCAGCTGGAAGGTACCAGATGTTTATTTATCTAAGGCAGGCAAGGGAGAGAGAAACAGAGTGGTCTGTGGTGGACAATGGTACAGGTTTTGGAGCTGGACTAGGGTTTGACTCCTAGTTCCGTCACCAGCTCCATCTGGTAATAATGATATCATTGGCCCCCCTCTGAGACCATTTCCTCATCTGAAATTGGTTCCTGAGAATGAGAATTATGTAAGTACACGACGCAGAGTGAGTGCTCAGTGGTAACCAGAATGACCATCATTTCACAGATGAAGTGATAGCCCCGGCCTCAGTCAGAATTGGAACCTTCATCTCCTGCCCCTCAGCCTGAGGGGCCAGGCTGTCTACACCTGCCACTTAGTTGCATGGAAGCTATGAAAGACCCAACTTTCCTTTCTTCTTTTGAGCAAGTTTTGCTTTACTTTAAAAATGGTTTGTCACTGGGCAGGCAGGAGGATAAAATTTCACAATATATATTTAACTTGGCCCACAGCCCAAGTTCCAGCTGTTGCTGCTTGCGTGCTAACTGCAGTTAGTAGGCTGTGGTGGCCTCAGTTGGGTCTGTAGGTTTTTCCCTCAGTGTTGGTCTGTGTGGGGGGAGCGAGCCAGCGCTGCAGATCAGGCAGTGTTGCTAACATGGTGGTTATAAACACTGGCACTGCGCTCCAGGAAACCAGTCCCATTGCACAACTGTGGCCTTCATCCAGGTGGCTCAAGGAAGAAGGCAATGGTGGCCTCCTCTCTCACTGGCCCTGCTCAGCTCTAAGCTGGGTGACTGAAACAGAGACAGTGACCCAGAGAAACAAGCAAGAGAGATGGGAGGGGGAGGCAGGGAGAGCAGTTTCCTTGGGCTAGGCTCCTGACAGGGCCCTGCCGAGACTCCACTGCCAGTGATTTACCACTGCCTGAGAACTGCAGGTCCCGGGGGTAGGAGAGTAGGGAGACACCTAGGGGTAGCACACCATGTCAGACATGGGACAGCTAAGCACTGCTGCTATGGGTTCTCAAATGAAGGTGGAAATACCAGGGACAGTCTTTCCACTGTTTCTGACCCAGGGGCTGGGGTAACTGCTGGCTGCCTGCGTGGTCAGGTCTGAGCTCTAAGCCAGACTCCTCCTCCCAGCCTCCTAGGTGGGAACAGTCTCACACTGGGCTTTACTAACAAGCAAGGGATACCAGGCCCTCTTACTGGCAGGAGTGGGCTGGCCCCACCTTTTCAGTCCCAGGTTTGGGCTGCATTTAGAATTTCCTAACCTGCCCGTTTTGTCCTGATGCCTGGCTTCAGCCTAAAGGAGGTGGAGGGGCAACCTAGGATCTAACTGCCCAGTTTGGGTCAGGCAGTTCTCCTCTTTTGCCTCTAGCACCTCCTTTGTGCTAGGACACAGGTTCCACTTGTAGCTCCTTCCCTCAACTGTGGGGCCCAGCCTAGGAGGCTAGAGCTGGCTTGGCCAGGGCTGAGCCGCTGGCAGCAGAAGCCCCCAGGAGGCCAGACAGGAACAGACCCTGCAGGGCTCTTCCACTTTTCCTGACACCTCTGAGAGCCCCGTGCCCTGGCTGGAGCTGTTGATCAAGGCAGCTAAGCAAGCTTGCACGGGGGCCCTTGACTTCTGCTTCTTCACTCAACTCCTTCCCTTTTTCTCTCTGGTTTGCTCAGCCACAACTCCTCACACTGGATGACAGCCCTGGGAGCCCCAAATACCCTGCCACGGCTTCTGCTGGAAACACGGCCTGGATCTGCCAGTTGTCTTTCCCTCTGAGCCAAAGGCTACCTTCTCCAGGCTGCGTGGTGAGTTATGTAGACGGGAATATACACTGCTCCCAGTGGTAACATTTTATGGAGATTTTACTAGGGCCAGGCACTGTGCTAAGTACTTTATACACATTATCTCATTGAATATTCACATATAAGCCCTCAGAAGTGGGAACTCCAGAAAGCAGAGGGGAAGGAGGTGCTAAGAGGTTTCCTGACCAGCCCCAAGACTCAAAACATCCTGTCTGAGTTCAGTGAACTTCCAAGCCTCACAGGCCCCATTCTTCCCTTTCCTCGGTGCCTGCACTGAAGCAGACCTGCACGTAATGGCGCGCGACGGGATGGAGGGTGAGCTAGGTGTTCAGACAACTTGCAGGACAGGAGGCTGTTAAAGTACAGAAAAAAATTTACTGGAAATCTCTTTAATACATTTTAAATTGCAACTCAGTAATTCCAAACAAGGTAGGATGGAGGAGAAGGGATGCTGCCACCTGGAGACATATGTCTGGTCCCAGCCCTATCCCAGGGTGAAGTTCAGTCTAGGGCTCATACCTTTAATTGTACATGGCTGAGGGGCAAGGGCCGGCCTTGACAGTTGCTTTGCTGCTCCCAGACTCAGTCTGAAGTCAGGGCTCACCCTCCCTGGCCTCTCACTAGTGGGGTCCTGGAGAAAGGCTGCTGTCTGCACAGGCCAACAACTAGGAGCTGAAGAGGACTGTTTGGGACAATGGCTAACAGGCCTTTCCATGCAAGGCCTCGGAAAGACAGCTGAGATGGGGGGCTATCAATAACTTAACAGGGGCCTCCACCCTTTTCAGCCCTGGAGCCTAGGGGTAAATGTGGATTGGTTTAGCAGGCTATGGGTGTGGCCAACACAGAGAAGTGCCCTGGCCCTACGATAGGAGGGCCATTGGACACCACTGCTGGGACTGTTTCTTTGTGGCAGGAGAATGCATGCACAGGGCTGGGCTCAGCCTCAGCTGAGACAGCAGAGCCCCTTCCAGCCCTCAAGGTCAGCCTTGTAGGTGGAACTGTGTCACATGCAGTTTACTAACAAGCAGTTGAGAGCCACCTGCTCCACTGAAGAACAGCTGCTGCCAATGAACACCCCAGGTGGGCCAGGGGGAATGGGGCAGGCGAGTTTCCTTGGCCAGGGCTACTAGTTAGGCTGGGAGATGGACAGATGACAGGTGGTGAGCAAGGCTAGGTACCTGACTTAATCATGTAACAATGCCTGAAGGGTTAAGTCAATCATATGCCCAGCTTTGGTTTCTCAACAAGGAACCAATCCAACTAGTGAACCCCGGGGCAGTGTGCAGGCCCTGGGATTAAAGAGAGATGGTGGCCAGGCCCAAGTGGAAGGAGGAAGAGGTCAGCCCAGCCCCAAGGATCAGGAACAAGTACACCAGCAGCAGAGACGTCTGGCCTTCTCTAGTCCACTGGGGGGCACGCACAATGCCCCTGGGCACTGAATGTGGCCCAGCTCTGGGGAGTCATCACATTTAACACGCAAGACTTCCTGGGCTGCCAGAACGGAGTCAGTCACTCTGCAGAAGCTGTGAAGACTCAAGGTTCTCACCAGGAACATTGAGGTGTCCACGGTAAAGCCTGTGGTCAGTTCAAATCCAGCGACTCTAGGAGGCTACTTGGCCCCGAGCCAGCCCTATTCTTGGATCCCATCTTATATGTCACAGAAAGGAGGATCCTCAGAGCAGCAATCTGGATTCTGAGGAACCTCCAGAGGAGGAGGTCCCAACTCCAGGAAGAGGCCCGCCACCTTCCCCAAGTGAAAACAACTAACCTCAAACATATTTTCTCTATAAAATATCTGACTTCTCTGAAAGTAATAAATATTTACTGTATTCTATAACCAAGGAGCAGTAATGGGGGGAGGGAGGAAAGGAAAAGAGAAGAACCTTTCCTATGAATCTCAGTGACAGAATTCTAGAGATGTAGGATTCTGTTTTTACTTCCCACGTAGCCGAGAAGCTGAGCGCAGGCAGCCACCAGGGCTGCTTGTAGCCTATGATAAGGGATGGACTGACACAACCTTCAACAGTGGGGCTGGCTGGCTTTGGAGTTCTCATCATCTTGGGCACACAGGCCTGTCATATTGCCAGAAGTACAGGCACAGGGACAGAGAGGAGAGAGAGGGGGAGAGAAAGAGGAAGAAGATACCCGGAACTAAAGGAGACAACAAAGAGAGCCTAAAGGACCCTTTCTTTCTTTCCTCTCAGCACTGTCTCCTTCCTCTTTCTGCCTCCACACCAGTCTCTGGGCCACCAGCTGGAATGTCAAGTGGTTGACAGTAACGGCAGGCGAGCGGCCAGCTGCAGGGCTGACCCAGGATAGGAGGCTGGCAGCAGGCAGATAGGATGTCACCCTTTGTGAAGCAGTTGGGGATAGAGTGTAAGCAGATGGCCCCACTGAGGACCCTTTTGTTACAGAGGGTTTTTCCATCTCCAAGGCCACAGGGTAAGTCCTTTCAAATGCTATTACTGGGCTTGACTGCAGCCGTGGAGTCTCCAGGAGGTGCAAGAGCAGGACTTCTGGACCCTCCATGGGGGAATCATCCTCCCCTCCACCATCTTGAAGCAGGGTAGGAATGGGAGCAGCTGATGAGGAGGCAGCCCTCTGTCCCCAGGGACCACAAAAAAGGGGATGCTGCTGGTACTTGAGGACACCAACTTTTACTGCAGGGTTTCTACAAAGGCATCAAATTCTCTGACATTCTTCTCATGCACAGCCAGCTTCTCTGGTAATGAGTCCTGCAGCAGGAGGGGAGAGAGGAGCTGTTAGCAGGTGGAGCCTTGAAGAGGCAGCCAGCCCAGTCACCCGGAGCTGAGGAAGGGAGTGAGGCTGAGCCCAGCTCAGCACTGCTGACTGGGAGGGCAGGGAGAATGCAGGGCAACTGAGCTGACCTGGGATTGTTGGGGTCATGTTCACCAGTGTTCTGAAGGGGCTGTGGGGGTGACAGAGCAGCCCAGGGAATCCAAGCGGGGCCACCCCTTCAGGGAGACAGAAAAGGACAGGACGACATGGAGAAATTAAACATGGACTATCCTTGGCACAGATTAGACTGACACTAAAGTACAACAGAGAGCTTAGAGCTCCACAAATTAAGACATGTCTGTGAAGGATTTCACACACTTCGCTATGCACCAGCATCCCCTGGGAGCACGTGAACAAGGCAGTCCCAGCCACTTCCAAGAGATTCTGATCCAGCAGGTCTGTGGTGAGGCCAGGGACTCTGCATCTTTGAACAAGCTGGGGAGGGGGGTGGGTTAGAGGGTTAAGGGAGAACAGCAAACGAGAGAAGCACAGGAAACAGAACCTCGAGGAATCAGTATAAGACACTGAGCAGAGGCGGCCAATAATAACTGTCCTCATGTATCAACTCTTAATAAAAAATAGACCCTGACCAGGTGGCCTGTCTCCACTGGTGAATAAACAAGGAAAAACTGCATCTGAAGAGTCTAACCATCACAGGAAGATTTCCTGGGTTAAGCACAGGCACAGTGTACTGGAGAGAGGCCGGGTGCAGCAGGCTAGCATGCTGGCTTCAGCGTCACTTGAGGACACTCAGACCCCTTTCCTTCCAAGTGCATTTCAAATGAGAGGCAGGGGAATTAGTGGTTAAAGGCCTTGACTGAGGAGCCAGACTCTCTGGGGCCAAAGCCTCCTTCTGCCTGACAGCATGACCCTTGGCAAGTTATTTAATCACAGCAATTAACTGTGGTAATTAATTGTGCTGGTTTCCTCATCTGTACACTGGGGATAATAAGAAAACCTGCCTCTTAGGGTTGTTGAGGATTCATGTAAAGCACTTAGCAAACTGCTTGGCACCTCAAAAGCCTCAATAAATGTTAATGACAATAATAGTATTAGTGTGCCATTATTATTAATGAGCATGCTTTTCTGCTTAAAGCAAATCAAGGGCAGCTGCCCCTGGGGCCTCTCATTTCTGTGGAAGAGGTGACACGCCCCTTCAGGCAGAGGGACCTCGGCATCCATGGTGTAAGGCACCCCGGGGTTTGTGGCTGCCCAGGGCTCTCTTCTGCCCTTCAGAGGCAGGAAGCAGGAAATATCCTAAGCAGGAGTGTGGTAATTATGGTCTGTATCAGGACCTCTGGCTAAATATGAGAACCACTAGATGAGAGAATGAGCTCTAATGCTGAGGACCTTACGTTCTCCTCTGCCCTGTGCCCTTGGCATCTGCCTGGCAAGCTAAACAGCTGAATGTAAGGAGCTGCTGGAGCAGCTTGGCTTTGTGGCATCAGCAAGTAGAAGACACCAGGTGCAGAACGACAGAAGTGTGTGTCTAAGTAATGCTCAGATGTGCAGAGAAAGGCAGGAACTGAACGCAAGCAAATTCAAGATAATGATTGCCAGGCACAATACAAATTTCAAGCGTGATCAAAAGAAGATAATGGTCTAAATGTGTCTCTTTCCTGTTTCAGGGAAGATAGGAGGAGTATGTGTGTATGGGGGTGGGGGGCGGCAAGGAGTAACCGGAAGAAATTTCTAGGCCTGTGGAGCAGGAGTGACCATCAAATGGGGATGGGAGGTCAGAGGATGAGGTCCGGCAGGGGAAGGTTTTCCATACCAAGTCCTCAGCCATGGACTGTGCGCCAATGTCTATGGAGAGGCTGCTCAGCTGAGGGGGGTTCTGAAATTCACGATAGAAGGTCCCCAAGTCCATTGGAAGAATGTCGTCTTTAGAAAAAGCTGGTTTCTTCAAAAACAAGACAAATCCAGTTTAGCCTCTACCTTGGACCACAAAGGAAAATGCAGAGGAGATGAGCTACAAAGGGCTACCCATTCAGGCATGAACAGATTTAAGTGGACATCTGGAAAATCCCCATTTAGAGCTGCATTTCATTATGAATTGCAAGCAAAGACATGATATAAAAAGCCTTATTACCCATGAGCCTCCAAATGTCTCCCAAAACAAGGTGTCCTGGGCAGGCTCCCCACATAACACTACACAGTTGGGCCCTCACCTTAAGGAAATCCTTGTTTTAAAGTATACTGTGATAGAAAGTGATCGAGTGGATGCTTCTAGGTTTGCTTCCTCCAGGACAGCAAGGGTCAAGGAAAGTGATGGCAACTTACAAAGTTGATCATCACGAAGTCGTCATGGGTATTACCACTGCTACCCCCGCTGGAGCCCTCAGAGTGCAGGCTGCCTTGGAGAGGAGATCCAGTCTCTGGGGAATCTGGAGGGTTCACCTGTTTCAGGTTTTAGAATAAGGCAGAGTTAGGACTGGGCTGTGAACTAGATGCAAGTTACTACTAACAATCTGAGGGTTTTGTAAGGGACATAACACTGGCTACAAATTCCTAAGCCACGAGACATGGATTATGGTCTGTGGAGGATTAGTGACTGGACCAGGAAGGACGACAACTACTGCACCACCTCACGGGAAACTCTTAGTCAACGGTGGGCTCACCATGGGATCAGCATCCTCCAGCTCCAAATTCTTGGGAGCAAACATGGCAAAGGGGATGTCTAAACTGGTCAGGGTCACCTGGAGAAACACAGGAGAAAAGCATTAGGGCCTGACCTACCCCCAGCTTACGAGCTTCCTTTACAGGCTGCCGGTGCCTGGAGGCCTGGCAAGTTTGCACACCTAAGCTGATCCTGCTGCGCCTCAGGCTCCTCCTGCCTCCCTGCCCCACACTTCCTCCCCCACCAGGATGAACAGAGGTTAGGGCTCCCCAGGACCCTGGGAATTCAGCTTTTGAAGCATGATCCACAATGATTCAGTAACAACTGTGCTTTACTGGCAGCACCGAGGAGGAACATCATCATTCAAGTAAGGCGAGGGAGTGACAGTTACAGAACAATGATTTTATATTAAATGGTGTCTCGTCTCCCTCTCTATGGGAAGCTTGGAAGATCACACAAAAAGAGTTCTTAACTTTTTCTGAAGGGGTGTCACAGGCTATTAATGCTCTCTACACAAATATTTACACACTCAAGCACATATGCACACACACAATTTTGCATGCCATTTCAGTGGTTCCACAGACCCCAGGTTAAAAGCCCTGAGATACAAGGCCTCACTCTGAAAGCTTAGACATTCCCAAAGGTGACAGTGGCAGAAGAGTCACCTGGTTGATTGGTTTGTTGACAAAAGCTCCCACTTTCCGGACAAAGATGGTCTCCAAGACATCGTTGGGGGAGGCCCGTCCCTCACTGCTGTTTGACACGGTTTCAGTATCCTCACTGGAGAAGAAAGGTAAACTTGGGACTCACTCTCAAATCACAGCAGAGACTACTTAAAACCCTGTACCCATGTCCGCTGAGTCGATTCCAACTCATAGCCACCCTACAAGACAAGCAGAACTGCCCCATAGGGTTTCCAAGGAGTGGCTGGTGGATTCGAACTGCTGACCTTTTGGTCAGCAGCTGTGGCTCTCAACCACTGCGCCCCCAGGCTCCTCCCTATAAATCCACCACCTTGTGGAGCTACAGCCTAGGGCAGAAGGTTGCCCCCACTAGCCCACACCCACGTGGGCAACGGCAGTACGTGGTATGGCTGCTGCCACCCATCACCCTGCCTTTTAAGTTGACAGCACAGGACTGAGTTTCCTGGAATGACTAAGAATTACATATATTTGAATATAACTTAGTGTGAAAAGTGTGTAAAGCTTACATAAAATTTAAAATACCAATGGCAAGCACCAGCTATGATGCATATGGCAATCATAAACATAGTCAAGCAGCTCTCGTAAACAACTATAATTTTAGTGTTAATCTATTATGTGGCCAGGCCCGATATATAACTTTTCTTCTTCTATTTTTTTTTTTTTTTGTTATCTAAAAATACCATAATACTGTATGGTTTCCAGTGTAATGTTAAATGTAAGGCTAGCCTCACAAGGCACATTGACATTATTCAAAGTCAAGAGTCACAAATTTGATTCATTCCTCAGACAGTCATGGCTCTCTCCACACTTGACAAATTGCCTGGACCGAGGTTCTTGGTGCTGTGTACCATATTTCCCTTCCCTTCCCATCTCTTCATTCTGAAAACTCTTTGAACACATTCAGTTTGGCTGCTCCCACTCTCTCCCTCCCTAGCCCTCCAGACTGAGAGGGGAGTCCTGGATGATTGCGGGGGGATAGGGGGCAGCTCTAGGCAGAAATGGGGTCCCATACTGAGGCCAGCCAGAGCAACAGTCATAGCCCTGCAGGCAGCAGGGGACAGGAAAGGTCCTCTGGCCAAAAGCAGGGGCTCAAGGTAAGGAGGAGGAATGTCCAGTCCAAGTGGTCTCTGGACTCAGTCAGTAGGGAGGACTAAGTTTGAGGAAAGGCTCAAGCTCTTACAGCCTGTATTTAAGAACACCCTACACACAGTTCTCTGTCTTTAACTACTCTTGGACATGCCCTAGAAGTCAAGGCTCAGAAAACTAAAGAGTAAACTGGCTAACAGATCTTCCTTTGAGGGATGAATGAGAGGATGGAAGCTTGAGAAGCCAGGAATGAAAGAAATTATTTTTCCTGAAGGATAGTACAAAAAAAACTTCCCAAAAAATTCCCCTCCCACCACCACTACACCGTGGGAACAACAACAACAAAAAAGGCTCAGGCATTTCTATTATCAGAAAGTTCATTTAGGATGTGGTAGGGCACTGCAATCTCATCTCTGGGGCCTTCCCGCTCAAGGGAGGGCAGGGCAGGGCAGGTCAAGACAGCTCTCAGCTTCCCAAGGGAGAATGATGAGTGTAATGGGAAGAAAGCTCAGGCTTGGAGTCAAAGGATCTAGGCTTGAGGCCTTGTTCTGCCCTTCTGTGAGCTCTGTGAGCTATCGCAGGCCAATTACTTAACCCTTCTGAGATCCTCTCTTTTTTTAAAAAAGGAGATAACAGTGGTGATTTATGCAGGATGGGATTGTGACAACTTTTACTTTTTACCTAATCAAGGTCTTCAAAATTTTGAATTTTATTTATTTATTAATCAGAAAAGGCAAAGATTTAAAGTGATATTTTTTTAATGAGGAAAAACATCTATTTCCAAGGGATCTCCATGAGGATCCAACAGCAGAAAATCAATCCCAGCTACAACCACAGATACACTGTGCCCCAGACTTCAGGGTTATGGAAACCCTCTTATTCAAGTTTCAGGAAACAGAGGACTGACTCTAAGGGTAAGAGGAAAGCATCTGAAAACCCCTTCACTGGATGAGAGTGACAAGAACCCAACCCCTGCTGTTTTCTGCCAGTAGCTAAGCCCCAGGCCAGTTTTCTTACACACAAGTTGATGCCTAGGCTCTTGTGACAGGCTAATAATACCTGAGGTTGGACACAACTGCCCTAACTAGGGTGACTCCTGGCCAGACTCCAGAACTGAAATTAATTATGAGATTCTTACTTGGGAACTTTAAGGATTCTACGTTTTGAACACAAATGCTAAGCCAGAGCCAATGCTGGAAGCTAGTCAGTCTTTACTGACACCAAATAAGCACACGCGTGTCAGGAAGGGCAGGCCCCTGGTTGGCCTAGTAGGGCCAGAGCCAAGATGGCTGGGAACTCACCTGCTTGAAGGTGTGGCAGCACAGTGGGCCCCATCAGAAGGGGTGTAGGTTGCCAATCTCTCCTGGTCAGCTTGGGCGCCGTGGGCAGGCTGGTTGGGAGCAAGTGGTAGCCCGCCTTCCTTCCCAGGAACCATTAGCTTTGGTGAAAAAAGGAGAGCTACAGTGAATCATGGCAATGTCAGACAGGAGGAGAACCTCATGTCCCAGCATGATGGTATCTGCTGTCAAGCTTTTCTGTCACCAATGCTGCCACCAAAAGGGCAGGAAACCCTGGATCTTTATCCTTTCTGGCACCCAGTTAATGGAAGACACATGGCAATGACTACAGAGGGCAGAAGGAGAGACAGAACACCTAAGAACGTCTTCTTTCCTTTCAGCAGTCTAAGAGGCCCCTTGCTCTCACAGGGAGTCATTTCAGTCCTCCAAAGTTACTGAAGAGGTCCGCTTCAGAACGCTTAGAATACTGTTGTCTTAAGAGGCCCCTCAACTGTCTCCAGGCAGGGAAGGCAGCACTGGAAACCCCATGGTCCTCCCCATCCTTAAAGATACCTGGTGAGGGTGTGTAGCATTTAAGCCAGCAGCAAACACTACTGGATAAGCCAGGTCAGCTGATCCAACGCCCAGGGCAGCAGGCTGATAGGAAAGGCGAGAACTTGAGAGCTAAGCAAGAGAAAAACAAAGAGGGGCAGAGAAGAGGAGGAGGAGACAACAGGCAATCTAGCACGTGACTAGTTATCAGTAGAGAGATGAGGAATGGCTCCCAGCCCACATCCCCACAGCACCTGGGGCCTGATGAAAGAGTTAAAGACAGACCAGGCCACTAACTTTTTAGATAAGAAAACACAGACTTGTTTGTACTGGGGTTGAGATTCCTCACTCTGGAGCCTCCCAAGGGCCTTGCATGAGTTCTTGGCTCACTGGCTTCCCAGGGGCTCAGCTAACTGTTTCAGATTCAAGCCCAGCAGATCTGTGGAGCACAAGCCTGGGCAGAACTTGGAGCCAACACAATCAGTTTTTCCATAGTCATTCTATTTTCTCCTTTGTCCTTGAGGTCCCTTTGGCACAGAAGGCTAGCTTCTTTAATCACACCCTCTACCACCCTTGTGCATGGGAGGGTTCCTATTTATTTAAAAAAAAAAAAGAATACCAGTCTTAGACTGTTTATTTGGAAGTAAGATATAAATAACCCCATGTATTTTTCATGTTAATGAAAGGAGAAGGGGCAAATGAGAAACCCTATTCTGGACTACAGTGCTGTGGCTGTGTCCTATTAAAATCCACCATAAACCTCAAAATAATCCCATACAGCACTTGGGACATTTAAATAACTCTACCCTGTATTTTATTTACAATTTTTAAATAAAAATATGCCATCTGATTATAGCCCCTTCTTCCCATTATGGACTCACTTGATGGGAAAAGGCCAGTCCTGCCATGGGGACTCTCAGGGTGTCCGTCACCACAGGAGTAGGGGTCTGAAAATGTGCCTTTGTGACAGTAAACACACACTATGCGTAGATACACACAGAGACAGAAAAACAAGAGAAGAAAAAAGAAAAGAAAAGGAACTTAAGAAAGAAGTGGAAAAAAAACTCTGGGAAGGAGCAGTAGCAATAGAGGCTGAATGGACAATGGTAAATCAGGGTGAATCAGGGAGAGAGCTCAATGTCTTTCTTCCAAAATGGACAACCTGGAAGGTCTGGACAAGTGATGTTTATCACAAGGTGCTCCACTGAGTGCCTGTCTCCCTGACAAGCAGGTGGAAAACAAAGCTGAGTTAAGCAGGCATGACTTGGCAAAACAGAGAAACCTGAACCAGGCCATCAGGCTGTCTTTAGTCAAAAAATGGGCAACAGTTAGAGAATAGATGCCATTAGAAAGGGCCTCAGAGCAGGTGCAAGGTGTGCTGAAGATGGATGACATTGCTGAGGCTATCATGTTAGACTGGAGCCCTTTTTCAAGGGACCCAGAATCTGCAGGGACAGGTTTAAACAGTTCACATTTTTGGTCAGAAATTTTAAATGGCCACACTTTCCTATGTCATCCCAGGGGGAAGGTGGGTGGGTGTGCAGGGTGTGTGCGTGTGTGTGTTCTTACACTGCCCGATGGTGTGGGAGAACTCTGCAGAATAAAAACTGGGACACTTTCAAGACTTATGATTTTAAAGCTAATAATGGATATGATCATTATTTTAGTTCTTGCTGTTACATTTTTAAATTTCACCAATTACCTAATTAATGCTTAGAATTGGAGGTAGGACCATAGGTCACAATGTTAGATTCAAAGTCACAACTATTTTTTGACTCAACTCTGTCCAAAAGACACAATGGCCAACAACATCACATTAACACATATTTATTGGACTCTAGCAAAAGCTCAAAGTGAAGTTGTTGAACTGAATAATTATACAAGTCCCTAGGTTAAACTAAGAAAGAAACCATTTCAATATTAACAGAAGTGAAGATCTCTGACTGTTAGTTAACAGAAGGGCAAATGGTTTTCTCTCTCTGTTCGACTATCAAGGTTCAAAATTTGTATTTCTGTACCAGACAGTACCAGCCACGATCAGACGTGTTGAGGGAATACTGCGAGGGCTCATCCATGGGTGTACAGTGTTGATAAGATCTTGGCATGATCTTGTTTTAAACTGTGACAAGACACAATGGCAAGTAATACCATGAAAAAGATATGCTCTCCTTACACAGGCCAATGGACCTTTAGCAAACACCAGGTACAGAAACTACTTTCCCAATTTACTTTTGGGGTCAAATTTCCACTGTATCATTGTGTGAGAGAGACAGACAAACTGATTTGTTATGGCCCAGCTTCCCCATCCCTTGTGCCTCCCAAGTCACAATTTTAAGTTACTGCATCCCTTGTGCCTCCCAAGTCACAGTTTTAAGTTACTGTTGATGAATCTATCATTTGTACAAGAAAATAAAACTGTTTAATGAACTTTAAATTTGACATACGCACATTCTGACAATCTGAAAAATAACCTACTCCCATTAATGTGTACTTGTAAGAAAGTGGGCTTTCCCCATTTTTTGCCAGTGTTGCTCTATGCCAGTAAGCATACTGGTATATTGCTCCCCCAGCCCAGAGCAATACAGACACTGATATACCTGCAAGCATTAATGGAAGGAGGGGACTAACAATCCCCATGTCCCCCACCCAAACTATCTAGGCAACTTAAGAATTTGGACTTTGAACCCTAAGCAAATTGGGAAAATAGAAAGAATACAAACGGGCAGAGGTTGCAATGTCATTTACTCGGAATTAATCATGTGCCTAATTCCTGCTTTTGAAAGAGATTAGAACCATAATTTTTAATTCAGTACCTCCTAAACAACACAGTACAGAAAATTAAAAAAAAAAAATCTTTTTCTAATTAAAAAAAAAAAAAAAAACAGGGATGGAGCCAACACACTGCTATACACAGAAGTACCATGACATCCCTCCACAGCAAAGACCCAAAAAACTAAGTAAAACGGAGACAAACATCAATCCTGGAACCCTAAGCATCAAATGAAGAGATAAAGAACTCAACCAAGCACCGAACGGAATAAGAAACTGACAGAGAACAGAGAGTGAAGAGAGTTACAAGTGGATGTCCCATATCAGTTAATGCAACATGGATCCACCATCTTGGACTCCTGTTGAAGATCAGTGGACAGGGAGTACGGGACAGCAGATTCACGGAGCTCCCAACAGGAGACAGAGCACCCGGTAACCAGCAATACATGCTTTCCCATCCCCTGCCCTGCCTTTCCCTGCTCAGCCTTCGCCACTTCCTGGTGGGCCGATCCACAGCTTCCTGGATGGCTGATTCACTGCTTTCTGGAAGGCCAATCCACCACTTCCCAGGAGGCCGCAACCATGGCACGGGAGGCGCCGGTTCCATGCTGTGCGTTTTTGCCCCACTCACACTGTCCAGCTTCTTCAGTGCCATTTCTTTGTTGCTGATGTTGCTTTTATCAGCCTCTTTTGATTTCTTCTCTGCCTCTCACCTCCTCCGCTCCTTTCTTTTGAACATCTGACTCCATATGCCATCTTTGCTGCTTCTTGACAGGCTGTGCAGTGCCGCTCAGCTGGGGAACTGCTTCCCTGATCCGTGCCACCACACTGGTGGGATCCCTGCAGACTTTTTTTTTTCCTTGCTCTTTTTTCCTTTTTATTTTTCTTCATTTCTCAGTTTCTTGTCTCTTTCTACTTACCTTCTTTTCCTGTCTCCTGAATACCTGGTGCTGTGTATCATCTCCACCCATTCTAGCCGGGCTGTACCGCACGGCTTGGAAGCTGCTTCCCCGGACTGTGCAGCCATGTTGGTGGGGTCCCTGGGGGCATTTTTTAATTAAATTTTTATTTATTTATTTTTTATTTTCTTTTTCTCCTTTTTGTTTTTATTTATTCCTCAGTTTCTCGTCTTTCCACTCCAATGACAGGCTTCCTCACCACTTTTTTTTTTGCTGTTTCCCTTTCCTCTCTCTCTTCTTTCCCATACCCAACATAGCTCCACACATCACAACCTCCCCCTCCCTCTCCGTCCTGCCTATCTGCACTGTGTGCTGAACATTGCACTCCCGAGCAGCACAGGCATGGCCTACCAGAACCTGCCCTGCACTGACCCCCAGCTCACCTTGTCAGCCCCCAGTATGTGCCACAAACAACCCATCCCAGCCCCTCCCCTTCAGCTGGACCTGCCCTGCTGCACCATAGCTGAGCAACTGGCCATGCCCACTGGACAAGCAGGGAAGAATATTGTGTCCACAGACAAGCAAAAAACAAAGACTGCACAGCCTGCCTGCTCAGACACAACTAAATAAAACCAAAAGACAGGATGAAACAAACAAATCTACAGTCAATAAACAAAGAAAATAACTACTAGTGTCCCAAAGACAGCAGACAATATCAAAACACATAAAAAAACCAGAACAGGATAGTTCCAGTAGGTGTCCAAAATAAAAAACCAGATGACTTTCCAGTAAAGAAAAGGCACTAGAACTACCTGATAGAGAATTCAAATCTCTAATATTCAGAGCTAGCCAAGAGTTGAAGCAAAAAGCAGACAAAAGTGAGGAAAAAACAGACAAATGCATGGAAAAGGCTGATAAAAAAATGGAAGAATTCAGGAAAATAATACAGGAACAAAATGCCAAAATAAATTCACAACCAGAAATCATATAAAAAAACAATTAGAAATCCAAGAGATAAACAACAAGATTTCAGAAAGGGACAGTGTCACAGAAGGGCTAAGGAGCAGGTTTGAAACAATGGAAGACAGGATCAGCAAAACTGAAGACAAACACATGGATACAACTTTGAGGAAAAATCATAAAAAACAACGAAGAAATATGAAGAAACCGTGAGAATTATGTGGGATACAATCAAAAGCAAAAATTTACGAGTGATTGGAGTTCCAGAACGGGGAGAAAAGAGGAAACACAGAGAGGATCATTGAAGAACTGCTGACAGAAAACTTGATAATATCATAAAAGATGAAAAGCTGACCATCCAAGAAGCTTAACGAACCCCAAAGAGGATAGACCCCAAAAGAAAATCACCAAGGCATATCATAATCACACTCGCTAAAACCAAAGACAAACAAAGAATCCTAAGAGCAGCTCGAGAAAAATGAAAAGTCACATACAGAGGGGAAACAATAAGATAAGCTCTGATTACTCCGCAGAAACCATGCAGGCAAGAAGGCAATGGGATGACATATATAAAACCTTGAAAGAAAAAAACTGCCAACCAAGAATAATACATTCTGCAAAACTCTTGTTCAAATATGGTGGTGAAATTAGGACATTTCCAGACAAACCCAAATTAAGGGAATATGGAAAAACCAAACCAAACTTACAAGAATTATCAAAGGGACTCCTTCGGTTTGAGAACAAACAGCGTTAGATGACAGCCTGAATCTAGGACACAAGATCGCACCAGACGGATACCACCGAGGAAATGAACTCTCAAGGATTATTCAAAACCTAACGATTTACAACAGGGAACCAGAGAGGTTAATCTGCAAATGACAACAACGTCAGAACAATAAAAGAGGGAATAAACAGTGTAAGTATAGAATTTTTTAATGGAGACGAAGGCAAGGCAATACCAAGTAATAATAGACTGGTTCAAACCTAGGAACATAAGGGTAAATTTAAAGGTAACCAAAAAGAAAGTTAACAAACCTACTCATCGAAATAAAGAAGAAAAACATAAAGTTTCAGTAAAAACAAAATCTACAAAAACAAAAGACATGAAAAAAAAAATCCACCAACAAAAGCAATTCAGCACAGGAGAGTAAGAGAAACAAAGAAATCATCAGCACACAAAAAAAGCACTACAAAATGAGAGCAATAAACTCACACCTATCAATAATTACACTGGACGTAAATGGCCTAAATGCACCCATAAAGAGACAGAGAGTGACAGAAGGGATAAAAAAACAGGATCTATCGATATGCTATCTATAAGAGACACACCTTAGAAACAAAGACATAAATTT